TCACTTGATTTTTAGATTTACTTTTTAATATATATGTATTTGTTGATCATAATTTTTATCTTTTTTCTCCTTCCTCTTCTTAAAGAATACCTTTCAGCATTTCATATAATACTGGTTTGGTGATGATGAACTCCTTTAGCTTTTTCTTATCTGTGAAGCTCTTTATCTTCCCTTCAATTCTGAATGATAGCTTTGCTGGGTATAGTAATCTTGGTTGTAGGTTCTTGCTATTCATCACTTTGAATATTTCTTTCCACTCCCTTCTGGCCTGCATAGTTTCTGTTGAGAAATCAGCTGATAATCAAATGGGTGCTCCCTTGTAGTTAACTAATTATTTTTCTCTTGCTGCTTGTAAGATTCTCTCTTTGTCTTTTGCCCTTGGCATTTTAATTATGATGTATCTTGATGTGGTCCTCTTTAGATTCCTTTTGTTTGGGGTTCTGTGCACTTCCTGGACTTGTAAGTCTATTTCTTTCATCAGGTGGGGGAAGTTTTCGGTCATTATTTCTTCAAATAGGTTTTCAGTATCTTGCTGTCCCTCTTCTTCTGGCATCCCCGTAATTCTGATGTTGATACACTTAAAGTTGTCCCAGAGGCTTCTTACATTATTTACAACTTTCTGGATTTTCTTCTCTTCTTGCTTCTCGAGAGGAGTGTCCTTTGCCTCTTTGTATTCCAAATCTTTTACTTGATTCTTGCATTCCTCTAGTCTGCTATTGGGTCTCTGTATAATAGTTTTTATTTTAGTCAGTGTATGTTTAATTTCTAGTTGGTCCTTTTTTTTTATCCTCAAGGGTCTCATTAAATTTATTGGCCTTTTCTAGGAAATTCTTGAAAAACCTTATAATCGTGGTTTTGAACTCTATATCTAGTCATTTGTTCTCCTTCATTTCTTTCGTTTGAGATCTATTTCCTTGTCTCCTCATTTTCGCTGCTTCCCTGAGTTGGTAGGTTGGCTTTGTGTGCTGGTGTCCTATATGGGCCGGTGGGTCAGCCTCCCCAGTTACCTGAGGTGGACACTCTTGGTGCTCCCCTTTGTGGACTGTGTGTACAGCCTTGTTGTAGTTAAGTCTTGATTGTTGTTGGTATCAGCGGAAGGAATTGACCTCCAGGCCAATTGGATGTATCAGCTGTGTCTACACCGGGATACCTTCTGTATTGGAGACAGTCTTATAGGATCATACTTGCAAAATTGCAAAAGCATCTGTGCTCAACTTGGATGGGGCGGAGTCTCAGGGCTGAGCCCACAGTCTTGGCTCCCCCATCAGCCCTGCCCTTGTACGCGTGCCTCAGACCTCTGCCTTCCACAGATCCCCTGAGTTTCTGCCTGACAGTCCAGATTCCCCCTGCAAGAGCGTGGGTGCCACAGGGGCTCGCCTGGAACTGGGTTGGGTTTCTGTATAATATTTTTAATCCCAGTGCAGTCGGAACTGGGATTCAATGCAGTCAGGAGCTTCTGACTCCTTCCACTATGGAGAGGCTATAGCAACTTCCGCAGTCAGATCTCTCTGTGTGCACTCATTTATGTGCTTATGCCTCTAGACCCTGCCCACTGCGGCTCCCGGCTCCCCCGAGTCTCCAAGTCTCCAAGTCTCCGAGTCTCCATGAGCCTTTCTCTACAGTCCAGACTCCACCTGTATGAGCCTGGGTCCATGGGGTTTTGGCAGGGTCTGGGGTTCAGTGCAGTTGGGGCTTCCTTTCCCCTCCCACCACCCAGGCACTCGGCCACCCTTCCTCTCTGCAGGCGCGAATCTCCCTACCTCAGCGCTTTGCAGATTTCCTGATCCATGAGTCTTTCTCATTTTTTTCTAGTTGTAGAAGTTCCTGTGGTTTTGGGCGATGTCTGTTCTCTCTTTTAGTTGTTTTGAAATTTTTGTGCAAGGCAGCTGTTTAGGTGTTTACCTAGGCCGCCATTTTGGTTTTCCCTCTCTTGCACGAATTTTCATGCATTGGGCCTCTAGTGTTTTTATAAGATGGCAATCATGCTCTAAAAATGTCTTCCCCCTTCCATCCTGTCTGTTATTTTCTTGATTCACTCATAATTCTGCTTATACATGTGGATAATTAATTCTCTTATTATAGAATAGTATCCATTTTGTGAATGGAATATGTTAGTGGAACTACCTATTCTACAATTTGAGTTTTTCCAGTGCCTCTATGACATTTTTATAGCTATTGTGTGTTGTTTTATTTTTGAACATATGTATGCATTTCTGTTGGGTGTGCCCTAGGAATAGAATTGGTGCGTTATCATATTTGTCTGTGTTTGGCTCTACTGATCAGTTTCCAAAGCAGATATAATATAGTGGTAATACATTTTATTTATTTTTTATATACTTTATTGATTTTTTATAGAGAGGGATAGAGAGCTAGAAACATAGATGAGAGAGAACCATTGATCAGCTGCCTCCTGTACATGCCCCACTGGGGATGTGCCCACAACCAAGGCATATGCCCCTGACCATAATTGAACCTGGGATCCGTCAGCGCTCCATCCACTGAGCCAAACCAGTTTCAGCATAATTCAAAACTTGGTAAAAATGCTGTGCTGACCAAACAAATGTGTGAGCCAGATGTGGTCCATGGGGCACCTCCAGATTAGACTGTGTTGTCTATGAGGGTTAATGTTTCTCTTCAAGAATCTAAATAGATAGCCGAAACTGGTTTGGCTCAGTGGATAGAGCATCAGCCTGTGGACGGAAGAGTCTCAGGTTCGATTCTGGTCCAAGGACATGTACCTTGGTTACTGGCATATCCCCAGTAGGGGATGTGCAGGAGGCAGCTGATAGATGTTTCTCTCTCATTGATGTAATTGTTGGACAGCTGGAAGATTAAAAATTCATGTTGCATTACTGTTAGTGGGGAGATTTTGAAGTGAACTGCATTTGGAGCGTCCACTTGCATCCCTCTTGCCCTGTTTAGTGGGGTGAGTGCAAAGAACCATAGTGTTACCAGGATGATGGCAAATGGTAACCCTGAAGCTGTCGAGGCACAAAGAAAAGTGCCCTTAGACCTGGTTTTGGGGGGTTCTTTATAATCTGGCCACATTCTCCATCCCTTTCACCATCAGACTTGCTGTGACATCAGACTGTTTTCTGCACATTATAGTGCTCTCAAGGCCAATGTGTTTCAAGGCTTTGGTGCATGCCATTTCTTCCATCTGTTCTTTCTGTGTGGAAAGCTCTCTCTCCCTTCTGTACTTGGCAAGCTCCTACTCATCCTGCAAGGTTCACCCAGAATTTTTACTTCCTCTGCCAAAGCTTTCCCCAGTTCCCTTAGAGTTGGATACCACCTCCTCAGAGGCACCATGTTCCTCTTACCTCATTAAATCACTGATGTTGATGTATCTGGGAATATGGCGGAAGTGGACACCTGAGGTTTTTGCCACCCGTCTCACATCTATTTGTCCTATTTCTGGGAACAGTGCCCTAACTTTCAGACACCACCCCATTCCTTCTCAGAGCCCTGTTGTTTTAGACCACCTTTCCCAAACCACCGGCAGCCTCAAAAAGCCTGATGCAAGATGGTTGTATTTCCTTCCCTGACAACCTGGTCTCTGGGACCATCTCACTGTAGAAGGATGAGAACGTATTGGGACAGACTCCAACACTACAGAACTCTCAGGAAGCAGGCTCACCCATTAATTAGCTCAGATGACAGAAACCCTGATAATAGCTTTTCTCTTGAGTCCTCAGGGATAGCCACCTTCAGCTTCCTACCTTATGAGCGTGGGGAGGGAAAGCAGGATTCAGAAAGGTGGTTATTTGTCTCAAATTGCTCAGTTCAGCTAACATGCTCTCTACCTGACCTCAGGACCCACACTTCTCACTACACCAGAGAAGGCTGAGGAGGTGCTGAGTCATGGAGGTGACCTAGGGGGACAGGGAGAACAAACAGCGCCAGAGCCAGGGCTAGAGCCAACACATCTTTATTAGTCTCTGCAGCAGGGCCCCTATCTACAGGGGGACTTTTGCAGGCTACTCTGGCTACTGGGCAGGAATATCAGCATTTCTGTGGTGATTGGGACAGGCTGGGGGAGGAGACTGGAAGGAGACCAGATGAGGAGGCTGCTGGGCAGCCAGCAGGGAGGCACATGTGTGGGGCCTTCTGAGCTGAGACAAAGGTGGTTTATGCCCCAGAAGTGAACACTGCCATCTTCCCCAGAGTGGACATGGAGACAACACCTAAGAGGGCGATAGCCACAGCTCTGGGCATAGGGGAGCTTCTGGGGAGTAGACATGCATTTCCTGACGGAGGATCCTAGGGCTGGAGGTCCCAAACAGGTGGGAAACAAGTGCTTTCCGGACACCGAAGGAACAGGGAACCCAGTAAGCTGGTAGTGGGAAGGATGGGGCTAAATGTACAGTGTTTTGGGTTTGGGTATGTGTTAAAAAACAAGCAGGCAATATATTCATTTATTATGAAACTTCCTCTAAAGAAACCTCACATCTCCCCCTGACTCAGCAAGCTTCTTAACCTAGAGGGGTATAATGATCTGACCCCTGCCTCCCTCCCCAGCCCAGTTAAATGTCCCTTTAATTTCTTTGACAAGCCCTGCATGCTTGCCAACAACCTTCTAGCCTGCCTTCCTCTCTGCCCTCTCACTGTCCGAGGACTGACAACTCTGCTTTGTCGAATGTGTACAGCTGTTTTCCCCCACCATGCCTGGAAGAACCTGACTTCTGTGTCTCCAGCATTTGCAAAATTGAAGCCACATGAATGGTTTTTGTGTGTGTGTGTGCGCGCGCGCGCCCTGTTGTGTTTGGGGCAAATATATCCACGTGTCTATAATGGGTTTCTGGGGCGTCTGGCAGTAGAGACAAGGATTTTTCGTTAACGTTTGTGCCTCCAATGGTAGCTTCTTCCCATGTTGGGGCTGAGGGTGGGAGTAGGAGGGGGTGATCCAAGCTTCGCAGGGCTAATAGGAAGAGGCCAAAGTGGGGCAGGGCTTGGGTGGAAGGGCGGGGACAAGGAGTAAACTATGCGCTGAGTCTCGGGGCTCAGAACCAACAGGGCGACCACATGAGCGAGCCCAGCGCCGCCCCGGTGGCCGCCCCCGCGAGCATGCCCATGGCCAGCGGTGCTCCTGAGCTGTAGCAGGGGTCCTCCCGCACCACCACGTGCGTGACGCCTCCGGGGCCTGCGGGGAGAGCCGGGGAGGTCAGACGAGGAGACAGAGCGATCTTAGCTCCCCTCCTCCCGCTGGACTCCAGCCCAACCCAAAGTAAAACGCTGAGCCCACTAATTTTATATTCTATTAATAACTCTGAAATCCCAAAATTGGTTTTGCAACCCAGTTAATGGCAGAATTAGACCTGATCTGATAGGGAGCTGGTTTTTTAATCATACTTAGTATGAATATTCATTCATTTTTTTAATTTTTTTTTTTTTTGCAATAGCAATAGCGTGGTTGATTTTGGCCTTACGGTGGGAAAGAAGTGCGGCCCGCCCTCTCAGCTTCCAGGCCTTGGGTCCGCTGTGGATGTGAGCTAGGATGGAAAGGCGAGGACACCCCCATTTCTAAGACCCTCCAGACCACACTGGGAGCCGGGGCCACAGCCATTCCCGCACTAGCCACCAGGGGTCGTGACCAGCTCAGGAACGGGTGTGAGCGGCCTGAGAAAAAGGCAGCCCGGAGACGGGAGTCAGCCCTGGGATGGGAAGGAGCTCCGATCTCAGTGCTATTCTGACTTTTGGGATGGGGAAGGCCTGGTGGAGGGTTCTGCCTGAGAAAATCCTTGGTCACTAAAAGGGTGGGGCCTGACCCTGGATCGAGGCAGGAAGCTGGCGGGTCAGCAACTTACCTGGGTAGGGCTGTCCGTAGGGCGGTCCGTAGTAGCTCCGAACGTAAGTGGCGTCGTGCGCATTGGGCGGCACCACCTCGTAGTAGTCCTGGTACGGGCTGTAGACGCGCACCTGGGGAGCCCTGCCAGGTTAGCTGCCTGCGAATTCCCTGGCCCCGGTTTGGCCCCTTACCCACCCAGCTCAAGCCCCTCTGGACCCACGGAGCTGCCTCCCCAAGTTTAGAAGTGGGTCCCCAGGGTCCTTGTATTCTAAAAAAATATATTTTTATTGATTTTGTACAGAGAGGAAGGGAGAGGGATAGAGAGTTAGAAACATCGATGAGAGAGAGTCATCGATCAGCTGCCTCTTGCACACCCCTTACTGGGGATATGCCCGCAACTGAGGTACATGCCCTTGACCGGAATCGAACCCGGGACCCTTCAGTCCCCAAGCCGACGCTCTATCCATTGAGCCAAACCGGTCTCGGCGGTCCTTGTATTCTAAAGCTCAGCCTCTATATCCAGCTCCCAGTGAGGCCATTTTCTGTCCTGGCCTCCCACCTGGCCTCCCCCTTCCCCCATCAAGAATTCTCCATGGTGCCAAGCTGGTATGGCTTAGTGGATTGAGGGTCACCTCATGCACCAAGATTCCTGGTCAGGGCAAGTGCCCAGATTGAGGGCGAGATCCCCAGTAGGGGGTATCAGGAGGCAGCCGATTGATAGTTCTCTCTCATCGATGTATCTCTCTCTCTTAAAAAAAAATCAATTAAAACATATTTAAAAAGCATGTTCAAAATAATTCTCCATGGCTTCCAACTTCCTTCATAGATAGTCTAATATTTGCTAGCAGCTCTCTAATGATTCCATTTAGAGAAACCCAATGAATTTCTCTACTCTCCTAGTCACGGAGAGGGAGACCAGGCCAAGCCCCAGGCCCAGGAAATAAATGAGGGGTGGGAGGAAGGGATGGGATTGATCCAGTAGGAAAAGGAAGTAATTAAAGTATTATTGAGCATCCATCATGTACCAGGTCTTCACATCGTACGTCCTCTGTTCCTTACCACAGTCCTTATCATCTCCTCATTATCACAGAGCTAGGCCAGGAGGCTCAGAAAATGGCCAATGTTCTCTGGGAGGGAGGAATGCTCTCCCTGCCCCCTTCGCTCTCCATTAGATTTTTACTAACCCTCCAAGCCTAACTCAAAAGTCACCCACTCCAGGAAGCCCTCCTGGGCTCAGAAAGAACCCTTTCTTTCTGAGTTCTCTGTGAGCTATGTTTGTGCCTCTTATCCTATCCTTCCTCTGGGCCTTTCTGGCTTGCACTCCAAATGTAAGCTACCCGTAGGCAAGGACTCTGATTTGTGTCACCAGCAAGGTCTAGTGAATGCTAAGAATAAATATATGCTAATTAAATGGTAGCTCCTAGTCCAAGCCCCTCTCTTTACCTACAGAGAGCAGACCTGGGGAGGGGGCAGAATCCCCTTCTCTCCTGGCTCCTCCTTGGCCACCCTTCCACCCTCTATCTCTTTCTAACCGGGCTTCACACCTGAATGGCCCAACTCCCCTTTGAAGTCCAGGTGTCTTAAACTCCATGCATCTCAAAGTGATTTCATCATCCTTCCGTCCCCCCAAACCTGCCTTCTGTAAATTCTTTTCTCTAAATGCCACCACTGTGCTCTCAAACCAAGACATCATGTTGGCACCCTTATCTCCACACACTTATCTTCCACACCATATCAGCCAACAGGTCACATGACTTTATCTTCTAACTATGCTCTTCTGTCCATCCTTTTGGCCAGTGCCAAGAGAATAAGCCGTTAGTTTTGGCAACTTGGAAGCTGTGGGTGACCGTGAAAAAAAAAATAAAAATACCTTTCAGAGGAGTGATTAGGAAAAGAAGCCAGACTATAGGGAGTTGAAGAATGATTGAGTGGTGAGGGGTGGAACCAACATATCACGACATCTCTTTCGGGAAGTTTAGCTGTAGCCCTGGCCAGCGTTTCTTAGTGGTTAGAATGTTGGCCCGTGCATCAAAGGGTCTTGGTTTGATTCATGGTCAAGGGCATATACCTGGGTTGCAGGTTCTATTCCCTTTGTCAGGGTAGGTGCAGAAGGGAACCAATTGATGATTCTCTCTCACAGGGATGTTTTTATCTCCTTTCTCTCTCTCTCTCCCTCCCTCCTCCCTTCCACTCTGTAAATATCAATGAATGAAAAAAAAAATCCTTGGGTAAGGATTAACAAAAAATAAAATATAGACTTCAAGGGGGTTAAAAAAAAACACAAGATTAGCTGTAAAGGGAAGTTCTCAAATCTCGATGCCACTTCCTAATGATGGGGAGCTTGCCTTCCTCACCTTTTTTTTATTTTTTTATTCAACTACCTAACTTGTCCTTTCAGAGTCAACTCAAGTATTACTCTCCCTGAACCTCAGGTCCTGGTGGGCTCCCATCTGGGCACTAGTTGACCTTAGAGTTTCCTCATCACAACAAAGCACCAGTCACTCGGTAGTGTCCTTGTTTGTATCTCTGTGAGTGTGAATCTCTCTCATCAGACTTGTAGACACCCTATCACCACCACCAAAGGCACGGCCGGGGTCTAACCAGGCCTGACTGGAACACGGTAGGTTAATATCAAATACAGGGTCAGACTGGAACTAAGGTCATCCAACTCAGTCCAGTTTCAAGTTAGGCACAAGGACCAGCCCCAGGGCAATGCAGGAGGCTCAGACAAAAAAACACACAAAAAAACCTCAGTCTCAAGTGACTTCCCTCACTGTGCTCCTTCTCCGAGGGTGGCCCAATAGGGATTTCTGGTGGGGGTGGCCAGGATTTGAGCTTCAAGCCTAGAAGGGCTGGAGAGATCTAAGCACTCAGGTCCCGAACTTTACTGGTAAGGAAGTTGAGGTCCAGAGTGTACACCTTTGCAGCTGCACAGGGAGCCAGTGGCCCTGCCAGGCCCTGGAGAGAATGGAAAACACCACTTCATGTCCCTGTGGGCCACCTGTTTCTACCCTCCAGGCCTGGGAGGCTCAGAGGTAAAGTCATGTGGGTCACCCAGCAACAGGGCAGGAGGGTCCCCCGAGACCTCACGGACAGGAGAACCAAAGGACCTGATTTCTGGTCCTCTCCCTCTCTGCAGGCCTAGACCTTCATATGCAAACAGATCCCTTCCCTCAGAACAACTGTGTGTACTTATTATAAGATTTTAAATGACTGCACAGCCTTTTCTTAAAATCCTCATCCAAGGATATTTTTTCCATTAACTTGTTTTAATTAAATTTTTTTAGAAAGATGGGAAGGATTGGGGGGCGGGGGAATGGAGAGAGAGAGAAATATCAATGTGAGACATCAATTGGTTGCCTCCTGCACGCCCCTGGCCAGGGCCAGAACAAACCTGCAACCACATACTTGCCCTTGACCAGGAGTTGATCTCAAGACCCTTTGGTCCATGGACTGACACTCTACCACTGAGCAACACTGGCCAGGGTGGTTTACAATCTTTTAAATCCTATTTTTTGGAATCCCCAATGTATACAAACTTGAGTCGTAGTTTGGGCGTGGCGGATGCCTCAGAATACTGGGCTGGAAGTCCCGCCCTGCTACTGATGAATTAAGGGACCCTGGTCAACTTATGACCTCTCAGAGCTTCAATTTTCTCATCTGTAAACAGGGACAATCCTACACTGCCCACTGCTGAGCCACCGTGAGAATCCAGCAGAGTCACGTCTAAGCAACTGGCTGGCCCTATTACTTCTGGGCTCAGTGGTTCTTGCAAATTAGAATCACCAAGAGAAATTTATACCAGATTCCCAAAAGCCACACCTGTGGTATTAGAGAATCCAGAGGTAAGATCTGAACATTTCTGGGTTCCTTTTTTTAATTCCTTGAGCGATTCTAATGTATAGCCACATTGATCACCACTGTGCTAGGAAAGGGGCTCACAGTTGACTGTAAGACAACAGGTACTCTATGGCAGGTCCCCGCTGTGCCCTGGCTGAGCACTGGAGAGAGAGGATTCATCCCTAAATCCTGCATTCCAGAAGCACTGGGGGTGGTGCAGGGAGACAGACAGGGACTAAATTATAATGTGCCATAATAGGTTTTCCACTTCTTCCTTCTTCCCTTCATTCATTCACTTGTTTGCTCATTCAGTCAACATTGCCTTGGGCCTACTTGTGCCTGACCTTGTGCACCAGGAATAAGGAGGGTCAAAACAAACTGTCTCTCCATCACTCAGTAGCCACTGACCCGCTGTACACTGTGCCAGGCTCCATGGGCAGAGCTGATCAGACCTGGTCCTTGCCTTGGAGGATGTCCCAGGCCTCATGAGAGAACAAAGAGAAGTAAACAGAATGGAAACCAGGCAGCATGAAGCCAGAACTGAGCATCAGTGCAGTGGGGTGGGAGGAGTGACGGTACCTGGAGGTCCGGGAGTCCTCCCTGAGGAGGGGGCAGCCTTTGAAAGTGGGGCTTAGATGATAAACTAAACGTCTGTTTGTCAAGTGAAGATGGAAACGAAGGGTTTTCACAGCAGAGAGAGCAGCACGTGCGAAGGCTGGGAAGAAGGGGACAGTCTGGAGCAGCGAGGACAGAGGGTAGAGCGAAGCAGTTGGGGGACACAGGGGATGAGGGGCCTGTGTAGGCAAGACTGGCTCAGGCCAGATCCCGAGGCCCTGAAAGCAGGGTCGTGGTTGGTGTCCGACGGATGACGGGAGCCAAGGGGTGTGTGTGAGCCGGGAAGGGATGTGACCAGGCCCCGTTCGGGAGGCACATCCTGGCGGCCAGGATGGAGGCAAGAAGGCCTAAGTCAGCACTTACCCAGATTCGCCTCTCAACCTTACAGGGGCTCCACGTGCTGGTCACACACCTGACCTTGGGGCAAACCCGGCGGCTTCTGGGAGGGACGGCGGCTCCAGCTGGGGCCTGCTCAGGCCGCAGAAACCCGGGAGGGGGAGGAAGGGAGTTGTCAGAGGCTCTCTACATCTGGAGAGACTCACAGTTCTTCATAGGCACTACCGGAGCCCTCTTCCAGCTGGGCAGGGGCGGGGGTGTCCTCCTCCTCCTCACCCATGGTAAAGGGGGAGACTGAGAAGGGGAGGTGATTTTAGAGAAGGATCAGTAGCATCTCTCCAGAATTAGTCCACCTTCACGTGTGTCGGCTGCTGAGGTTCCTGTCTCCAGGGAGGACCAAACAGCTATGATCTGCCCTTCCAGCCACCTGCCCCCTTCACTGCCCCCCCCCTCGCCTTGCCCCTGACCCTGTGTTCCCTAGAACAGCTGGGGTCAGGAACCCCTCCTCCAGCCTCCACCCAGAGCAGGGTATACACCTGCAGGATGTGAAGAGAGAAAGTGCAGGTCACTCCTACATAGGTACAAGACAGAGAAGCCCCCACCACCACACACACACACACACACACACAGGCATGAACACTCAGAGACAGGCGGACACGGGTACAAAGACAGAGACACAAACACAACCCCCTGGAGAAGCTCTGGGGCCGGAGGGATGTGTGTGTGCAGAGCAGTGGGAGGGTGGAGCGGAGGGCCAGAGCAGAGAGGTGTGGTGAGCAGAGCACCAGGAAGGCGGACAGGAAGAGAAGGGACAAGACGGCTTCATAGAGTCACAGAGTGCAGAACGGTCAGCTCTCACCTCCTTCCTTCCATCTCTCAGTGGGACTGATTTGCCCTGTATATGGGGGACTTGGGGCTCAGAGCCAGTTTAGCCTGACCTGGGTCCCTCCACCTCCATCCTCCTGACCCCTGCCCAGCCTCCTCTCGCCTAGCTTCCTCTCATCCAGCCCTCACCCAGAAGCGTGAGTCCGCTCCCCAAAGTTTGACCACAGCCCTTCCTGCTGAGTGACCTTGACTGCTCCCCACAGCCCTGGGGCAAAGTTCAGTTCCTTTAACTGGACCTCCAGGCCCTTGGTGACATAGATCCTCAGAGGTCACCTTTCCCATTTCTTTCCCTCCACATATTACCCTCCAGCCAGGCCAGACTCCTGGCTCAGATACACACACGCACATGTCACCTCCCTGCCTCTGCTCCTGCAACTTCCCTCAGAATCTCACACTGACCTAGGTCCCAATACAGGCTTTTTCACTGACTATACATGATGAGACTTTGGACAGATCACTCCCTCTGAACTTCAGCTTCCCTATCTGTAAAATGGATCTGAAAACACCAGACTTGTTGGAAGTTTAAATGGTATAACCAGTGTCAGGTGCTCATGGGCTTGCCCGGCTCTCAGGAGGTAGATGCCTGAGGGGGTTTCTTTGTTTTATGATTTTATTAAGGTCTTTTATAACTCTTATCAGGGGTTTCTAAATGCAACCCAGCTTTCCCTGCTACTTCCCAGGGACTTCCTCTCAAGGTGAGTAGGACTCCACTGCACCACAGAGAGGAGCAAGCATGGAACCTGGAGACAGGCAGGTGGGGGTCCAGGCGAGCTGGGCTGCGCTAGGGCCTTTGGACAGCTCCTCAAACCCACCCCGCATTAAGTCCTGTTGGCTCTCCCTAGTAAACGTGCCTGGGAGGCACGTTTATCAACTTGTCTCCGCCAGCAAGGCCTTAGTCCAATCCTCCAGCCAGTCACCGGGACACGGTCCCAGCCTTCGAACTGGGACCCTCTACAATCCATTTCCTACCTACCAGCCAGACTACCCTTTTAAAAATACAGATCCCATCTGACCTATTCGTGCAGTCCCTCTGCTTAAAAACTTCCAATGACTTCCAGATGCTCTCCGGAGAAACTGACATCCTTAACCCAGCCCCTAACGCCCTGCCAACCCCCCTTCCCCACTGCCCTCTCCCTCCCTGAGCTCCAGCCACCAGCCTTCTTTCTGTTCTTCAACTTGCCAAAGTCTTACTGCCTCTGAGGCTTTTGCACATGCAGTTTCCTCTTCCTGGAAAGCTGTTCCATTCACCGCACCCCACCCCTTCCACCCAGTCTACTTGTTTATACTTCAGGTCACAAATCGAGTGTACACTGCGTGTCTCCATCAGAGCAGTTGCCACCATTGCGATGGAACAAACAACCGTATAATTAGCTGCTTCACTCCTGGCTTCCCAGAAGACTGAGTCCAGGAGGGCAGGGCTCTCTCCTGAGCTCCCCTCTGATCCCTTGCCCTGGCACAGTGCCTGGCATGTAGTAGAAAGTCAGTCACTGTTTGCTGTGCACATGAATGAAACTCAGCCATCGTTTGCAGAGAGGGAACAAAAATCCCCGCCTCACAGGACTGTTGTGAGGAGCAGCTGCAATTGCATCTGTACCACACCTGGCACATGATAGCTGCTCAATAAAAGACAGTTCCTTTCCCCCAGCTCACATGCCATCCTCTTCTCGGAGGCCTCTCTCCCCCTCCTCTGAGCACCAGTGGACCATCTTCTGTCCTTTCCTGCTTGAGACTCAGGGCATCTGAGTCTGCACAAGTCAATTCACTCACATACAGTGGCACCTCAGTTCTCAAACGTAATTTATTCCGGAAGGCTATTGGAGAAAGCGATTTGTTTGAAAACCAAATCATTTTTTCCCATTACAAAAAATGTAAATTGAATTAATTTGTTCCAGACGCTCAGATGATTCCCTGTTTTAGCCTTTCATATATACAGTACATTCTAAGGTACTGTTCAACCTATAAACACTTCTTTTCTTACATTGACTGAACCACCCCTCCTCGCCTTCAGTGACTTTTCCAGGGGAGTCTTTCAGGAAGTCAGCAGGGGATCTTCCCTTTTCACGCGTTGCTGCCTCCAAAGTGCTGTCACTGGCTAGCTGCCTTTTGTTTATCCAAATCAACAATCTTTCTACTAGTAACTCTTCAATGGCCTGTGATCACTGTTTCTTTCACACCCTTAGCAACATTAGCGCTCTTGATGGCCTCTTTCTGTTTTAAAACTGTGCTAGTTGTCCATTTTGCCAGCAAAAACAGATTTAAAAACCCACAAAAATATTCACAGCACAATTTCCTGAGATGTTAACAATGCAACGTTTAGCAGTAGGCTAGAATTCTCTCCTCAGTTTGTGGCCTGAGAGATACTTTTTGTCACGCTGACCTACCAGCATGAAAGAGTTGTCAGGTCCAGAACTGAAGTTTTATTCCAGGACCGAGACGTTTCCCCCTCCCTCCCCCCACCATGAACCAAATTGTTCCAGATGGGAGTGGTTCGAGAACCCAGGTTTGACTGTATATGGGAATTGAGAACTCCTGGCAGGCGGAGACCGAGTCTGAATCACCCATGATTCCATGGCAGGTAGGGTGGGGAGGAGAGGAGGAGGGGAGGGGGGCTCACCGGGGTGGAATTCGCCTCCAGCAGTGCAGTCTTCCAAGCTCTGCAAAGCAAACCCACCACACGATGAGGGAGGGTTGGGAGAAGGGGGATGAGCCCCTGCATTTTAGATTTAATTCCCCCACCCAGACACTTGCCCCAGTTTTGGGGGGGAGGGTAAGATCTTTTGAATACACAAAGGTGACCCCCTCCCCTGCTCCAGGCACATGGACAGAGCTCTCAGTTGAGCTGGAACCTCGTAATTCATTCGTAGTCCGTAGTTTTTACCCTTTAGAAGGTCAGTTTCCCCATGCAGACAACGGACAACTGGGCCTGGGGGTCTCTTCGGGGCCTTTAAATTCTGACATGCCTAGGCTGGTTCTCCAGCTGCAGTATCTCCCCCAGCTACATCCAAAACCTACAATCAGTTCCCCAACACTCTGACCCCAGAGCCCTGGAAAGGGCCGGTGGACACAGGACAATTGGGCTTTTGTTGGTTGCCATGGCACCTGTCGGGTGGACAAGGCAGCTCTGTGCTTTGTCTACCCAGAGCTCAGCTTCCCCCACTCCCACACACCCCATCTCATTCCCTCTCCCACAATGCAAAGGCCCGCCGACCCTCTGCCAAAGGGTAGGAAGGGAAGGAATGTGAGTGAGCAGCCGGTGCCTGGAGACACACCCGGTCTCAGTGTGGACCTGAGTCTGGCATCGGGGCGCCCCCAGGACCTGGCAGGCTGCCTCTGTGAGGCAGGTCAGGGTCCGCTCCTCAGATCAGTCTCCAACCAGGACAGCCCTCGGAAGGAGGGTCCTTGGAGGATGTCCCAGGGCTCTGTTCCTTTGTATCACCCTACGTGAGGGCTCACCTCAGAGCCTGCTCAAGACCTGACTCTGAATGATCAGGTGTGCACGCTCCTCCCCCAACAGCCCAACGGGGTACCTTACCAGTCACCATGAGCCACCAAACCCACCCGTCCAGCCTCCACCCGCCTGTCTCTCTGTCCCCTCCCCCTAACGCCAGGGAGCAGGCATCTGATCACACGCCCGGGGATGCCCTCCCAGCCTCTCCTGGGAGCCACTCACACGGCGTCATCCTGGGTGTCCGCGCACAGGTGCAGGCGGGAGCCTTCCCGGAGACTCACGGTCAGCAGCCCGTCGCGGCTCCGGCCCTCGGGGGGCTGCACATCTGAAGGAGACACACAGAGAGGGGTCTCCGGGGGGTGTTCGCGGACAGACGCGGGAGGGCCGCACCCACGGGCAGAGTGCCAGGCAGGAGGGGGCGTCTCACCGTGGCACTCCTGGCCGATCTTTATGCTGCGGACATTGAAGCGGATAAGCACACGGTCCTCCTCGTCCTGCGCGGTCTCGTCGTGGTAGTAGCCCAGGGTCCCGTCCAGCCACAGGGCGAACCAGTTCCGTTTCCAGCGGCGAAGGATAGAGCCTGTGAGATAGTCCAGACCCGCCAGGCAGGCTGACCGCAGGGCCTGCTGGGGGCCTGAGCCCTGGACGGGCTCCCCGAGTCCTCCGGCCCCAGGCCCTCCTTTGTCTATCTACCCCCTGAAGTGACGGCAGGTCTTCTTTCTGTCTCGCTCACCCGTTGCCTCCCATGAGGCCTAACTCATAGCAGGGGCTCCATAAACATTATAAATGGCAAATGAGTTTTCCAATTCCCCCCTTGAGGGCTTTCAAAGCGAATCTCCCAAGTCTCTTTAAAGGCAAAGACCTCTCCCTACCCTAAGCCTCTTAGTTCTTATCTCTGACTTGTGTGATGGTCATTCAGGTAGTGTCTGTCTCTTCCATCAGATGGGGGGGGGGGGGTCCAGCAGGATCCACAGCTGGGCCTGGACTCAGTGTTTGCTGAACCAAAGGAACTGAGACTAGGTCATGGAGGGGATTAGGGGGCTCCTAGCCCAGAAGTGCTCTCGCTAAGATCATGACCCTGATCAGAGCGTGGGTCTGGAAGCTGAGCCCGAGCTTCAGACATTTTATGATTGTAAATCTTAACAGAAAGGGCAGAGACAAATGAGAGCTTCTTAGAGCCTTATGGGCTCTGAGGCACAGGGACCTTTTTTGTTTTGCTCTGAGCCTTGTTATGGGGCCAGCAACGGGCTGAGGTGGGGTGGTGGAGTCAGCCACGGGCTGGGGTGGTGGGGTCAGCCACGGGCTGGGGTGGTGGAGTCAGCCACGGGCTGGGGTGGTGGGGTCAGCCACGGGCTGGGGTGGGTTGGACACACAGAGGATCAAAGCTAGTCCCCGCCCTTGAAGGGCTCAGGCTGGGGCCTGGTGGGGTGGAGAGTGGGGGAGGTGACACCCACAGGTAAAGACAGTTATAGGGCGATCGATGCTGTAACTGGAGGCATTGGGGATCAGAGAAGCGAGCGTCTGGTGCTACAGCAGGGGCTGGGATGGGGTTAGAGGAAAAGGCAGAGAAGGCTCCTCACAGAAGGGGACAGCTGGGTGGGTCTTGAAGAATAAGTAGAAGTTTACCAGGCAGTCAGGAACAGGAAGGACATTCCAGGCACAGGGAAAAGCATGGACAAAGGCGGGGAGGATAAAAAGGGCCTAGTTTGCCCTGACCATGTGGCTCAGGTGGTTGAGAGTCATCCCGAGGGTCACCAGTTCAATTCCTGGGGTTTCAGTTCCATCCAGGTTGGAATGTGTACGGGAGGCAACTGATCGATGTTTTTCACATCAGTGTCTGTCTCTGTCTCTGCTCTGCTTCTCCCCCCGCCCCCAATCAATAAAACACACACACACACACACACACACACACACACATATATATATATATATATATATATATATATATATATATATATATTCTCCTGGTTTCTTGCGAGACAGGTTCACTGTGGCAGGCCCAATAAGCCACTTTCCTCACTCCTTCCCCTGCAGCAAGAGAGGCACAGGCTTGGCCCCAGGTCACTCACTCTGTCTCCACAGCCAGCCGCCCCTCACCAGGGCCATTTCTTCAAAAGGACTTCCCAGGATGGAGTCAGGCGGGACCTGTCAGAGGAGCCACAAGACACACAGGCCTCGTCAGCAGTGCCAGAGCAGCCCTGGGGAGAGAAGCCCCCAGCCCCGTCCTCCCCGGGGGAGCCACCGAGGGAACCACGTTTGAAGGAGTGTAAGTAAACAAACAAGGCGGGCCTGCCTCTCTCCTCCCCGCTCTCTGCTCCAGGCAGAGAATGGCAGCTCTGTGCTGTGGGGTCAGCGGAGCAGCCACCACTGTGCTGGGGCGGGGGAGGGGTCAGGAGCCTGGATTCCAATCTCAGTTCCATAACCTTGGCCGGGTCCCTTGTTCCTGGCCCTTTTTTTTTTTCCTGGACCCGTAGAGGTGTGACGTGAGGCTGGTAGAGGTTGGAGTGAGTAACTCATCAAATGTTCGAAAACCCTGGGCTTCTGAAAGGCTGGCAGCACAGAATATTAGAATCACAGCAATAAGCGAGGCTTTTCTTCGTAATAAGAAAAGCGTCCTCCAGCTTGAACGCCAACTGAGCTGTTGGTAAAGTGCACAAGATAATGGTTCCACGGAAGCCGGCTGGCTGAACGCCTTCCTAGGTTCAGGTCTCAGTGCTTCCGTCTATCAGCTCACTGAAGTCTCACCACAAACCTGCGACACCCCGGACCCTGGGGCTGGGAGAGGTCCAGCCATTAGTGCAGATCCAGAGCAAGCAGGGGAGCCAGGCCTCACACCCGGCAGTCCTGGCTTCTCACCTCTGTGCCAGCAGGAGCTTTTAAAACTCCAGCTGCCCAGGTCAGACTCAATGAAAAACTAAAAAAATAACCGGGTGGGAAGCAAGCACTGAAAGTCTCGAAAGTTCCCTAGCTGATTCAACGGTGCGGTGAAGTTTGGGAACCACTGCACCTACCTTCCCTGGTCCCAACTCTAACTGTTAGACGGGTAGGCTATTTACTCCGGTTTTGCAGACACACAAACCGAGAGGTAGGTACACTGCCTTGTCCACGTACGCGATGGAACTTGGATTGGAATCTAGGTGTACTCTATTCCTAAGGGGCAACTTACCTGCGATCAGGTGCCTCCGCCCCTCCCCCACTTGCTGCGTAGCAAGGCCTGGCACACCTGGGCTGGGAGGCCGGGCCTGTCCCTGCTTCTCCTGCCGCTCCCTCCCCTCCCCAAGCCCTGACACAGGTAAGACAAGAGGGCCAGGTGCAAGCCAGCTCCCTCTCCAGCCTCCCCGGGATGCACCCACCTGTCTACACCTGTTGCAGGATGCTGCTGCCAACACAGCCGCTCCTGGGTGCTGCTGCCACCCAACCCGCTGCGCCTGCGCTCTGTGCGCCCCGGAGCGCCTGGGGCATTTCACTCCCCAGACCGCGCCCCGGCCCGGGGCTCGCCGCCAGTGAGCCCCGCCCCAGGCCCCGCCCACCGCTGGAAGGGGGCGTGGCGTGGAGCGCGGGGCTGGCCCGAGGCCTCTGGGACTTGTAGTCCGCAGCTATGGACCCAGCAGGTCGCCACCGCCCCTGGTCTGACCCCGAGCACAGGTGAGAGGCCGCACCTGCGATTTTGTTTTGCCGTTTGTTCACTTATTTATCATGAAATACCTTTTTCTGCCGAAACCAGTTTGGCTCAGTGGATAGAGCGTCGGCCTGCGGACTGAAAGGTCCCAGGTTCGATTCCGGTCAAGAGCATGTATGCTGGTTGTCGCACATCCCGGGTAGGGAGTGTGCAATAGGCAGCTGATCAATGTTTCTCTCTCATCGATGTTTCTAACGCTCTATCCCTCTCTCTTCCTCTCTGTAAAAAATCAATAAAAAATATTAAAAAATTAAATGCTAAAAAAAACAGAGAAATATCTTTTTCTAACCTTTCTGAACTCGTTTCCTAGAGAAAAAGGAGAAAAGTAAAGCTGCAAGGAGAAGCCAGGCTCCTTGCTTTACCATGTTTTCTCAATATTCAGTTTGTGCTTGGCACCACGCGCGGACTCAGAGAAGCATCCACAAGCCCTTCTCTTTCTGCCCCAGCTTCCAGTCTGGCTGGGGAGACAACGCGAACACACAATTAGGGCGCGATTTAACGATGGGGAAGAGGAGCCTCAGACTTTGCCAGAGGAGGCCGGAAAGGGCTTTGGAGGAGGAGAAGGAGACCTAGGAGACTCACAGGCACACGAACCAAGGGAGTTTAAAAGAGGGTATGGCACCCCCGGGTGGCTCAGTTGGAGGAGCTTTTTCCTGTGCATGGAAAGGTTCCTGGTTCGATTTCCCGTTAAGGCACATACCTGGGTTGAGGGTTCGATGCCCAGTTGGGGCATATAGTGAAGGCAACTGATAGATGTTTCCCTCTCTCTCTCTCTTTCTCTCTCTAAGCGTGTCCTTAGGTGAGGATTAAAAAAAAAAAGTCCAGAATTTAGCTGCATTTGGAAAACAGAATGCAGGGGTGTGGGGGGCATGGGGAGAGGTTGCTGACGAAGCTGCAGGGGTTGACAGGATATAACATGAAAGCATTGGGTGATAGGCTCAGGGGCTTGGGATGTTATGACACAGTGACTGGAGCTTGAGGTTGGGGGTTTCAAGATGAGGAGGGAGGAGGGAGGGTTTGTGGAGGGGAAAAGCATGGGCTGAAGGGGCCCCAACTGGGGAAATAAGACTGTTTCTGTATCTACCACCTCAGACTGCCCTTCCAGGATCATTTCCTCGACTAGCTCAGCCACAAACCCCCACCTGCAAGCAAAAAAACTAAGATGCCATTCAGAGGACAAGACCTGTCCGGGCCTGAAAGGCTCCTGATCTGACCCCCTATTTGAAAAGGGCCCCCACCCTGCCAGTGGGCCCTCGCTCCTGTCCCAGGGCCCTCTTCCTTACCGGCGCTGCGGGACTCATGTTCCTCGGGGCCAGAGCAGCATTTCCCAGGAGGCTCCCGCAGGGGGCACTTCCCTGAGCGCCTTAGAGATAAGGGGATCAGGAGGGTGCTACCAAGTGGGAGCCAGAAAGGGGGAGAAGGGAGCCGAGGAAGGGGGACACACAGATCCTAGAGAAAGTCATCTCTCTTCAGTCCCTTCCCCAACCTCCCAGACTGATCTGGGCCTCCGACCTTCATTTCTCTGGATAACAAACTAGAACTCCGTGATTCGGAGGCGGCCGTGGCCCAGCACCCCCACAATTTCCCTGGGAGGAAGGGCGTGGGGCCCGTTCTCCTCCCTCGGTCTGGGGCGGGGCTGCATTTTCTTTCTCCAGCTGGGTAGGACTGTGCCATCACCCCAGTCTTGGTTGCACAGCCTGGCCCTTTAAGCTTCCTTCCCTCACTCCTGGGTTTCTATAATCCTGACCTCAAGCTACCCAGGCGCTTGCTTAGGCCCTGCGTGCGGTGCGTGCCTTGCTGGAGGATTCGCCATGGCCAATCCTATTAGCCCCTGAGCTCATCCCCTCCGTGCAGCCCCAGTTACACCCCCTCACCCCCCAAACCACGTTGTTCTCTACCTGGTGCCTTTCTGTCCCCGGAATGTCCAACTTCTCCAAGCTAAAATGTCTGCCCCCAGAGCAGAAGGATAGAAGAAAGGAACAGAGGGAAGTAGGGATCCAGACCCCCATCTCAGCTCTCTCTGCTCCCCTCCCTGAGGGGGTGATGGGGGAAACCATGCAGACAACTCTGGATTCCATTCTCTGGATTTAGCAAGCAAATGAAAAGGAAAGGCTCTACAGCAGCAGCGTGGAATTCAAAGGGAGGACTCCCCCATCCTCCTCCCAAAGAGGAGGTTCTCTGACAGAACAAGTGGAGAGAGGATGCTTTGCAAACTAAAATTACAGATGCTGCTGCAGAATCGAAATACAGCTGGACCTGGCATATGTCTCTAAAATGCTGGTCAATGACCTTCTTTGAGATGCTAATAAAAGGTGTAGACTGTCCAGGAAAAAAAATGCACACAGGTCACATTTTGCATGTAATTCCCGAGAGTTCACAGACTCCTAAAGCCCGATGATTACTAATGAGATTGTTTTTAATTTCCAAAGCCGTGTAGACTGATGGAAAAAAATGTGAATGACAAATGAGAGGCACTGAGAGCATAACAGGAATCCCAGCTCCAGCAGTCCTGGCGTTGAGAGGCTGTCTGTTTAAATCAACTAAAATTTTTTGAGACCAACAAGCCAACAGTAACTTTCATGTTTCTCTTGTAACTGGGGTATATAGTGCTATTGAAAGGGGGAAAAGTATTTTGCTATTCAAATGTCTGTGGTGGAGAAACAGCTCACAGTTATATACTGTTTAGAGAATAGTAAACTGGTTCATCAAATTAAAATTCACTAATATTTTCTAGAAAGTATATATAATGAGAATAATTAATACCATTTCTTTTTGTTGTTGTTGTTAAATCCTCACCCAAGGATATTTTTCCATAGATTTTTAGAGAGAGTGGAAGGGAGGAGGAGAGACACAGAGAAAGAAACACCAATGGGACACGTCCATTGAATTCCTCCCAAGGAGCCCTCAACCGGGGCCAGGGATTGAACCTACAACCGAGGTGTGTACCTTTGACCAGAATCGAACCTGGGACCCTTCAGTCCACAGACCGACACTCTATTCACTGAGCAAAACTGGCTAGGACAACACTATTTCTTTTTGCCAAAAAAACCCTGCAATATGAGCAAAAGAAAAACCACTTATATAAAAGTTTTTAATAATAATTTAGTGATATAACTTACATACCCCAAAATTCACTCTTTTACAATGTATAGTTCAATGTCCTAATATATTCACAAGATTGTGCAACCATCACTACTATCTCATTTCATCTCCCAAAAAAGAAATCCTTTAGCAGTCTCTCCTTGGAGCAATCCTCCTTCCTTCTGACCCTGTCAACCACAAATTTACTTCCTATGTATGGATTTTGCCTACTGTGGACATTTCATATGAGTGAAATCATACAATATGGGGCCTTTTGTAAACTGGCTTCTTTTACTTAACATAATGTTTTCAAGGTTCATACATGCTGTAGTGTGTATCAATACTTCATTCCTTTTTCTTGATGAATACTATTCCATAACATGGATATACTATGTTTTATTTATTCATTTATTACCCTATTTCCCCGAAAATAAGACAGTGTCTTATATTATTTTTTTTCTCCCAAAGTTGCGCTAGGTCTTATTTTCAGGGGATGTCTTATCTTTCCATGCGCTAGGTCTTATTTTCAGAGGATGTCTTATTTTTGGGGAAACACGGTAGTTAATGGACATCTGAGTGGTTTCCACTTTCTAGCTATTATGAATAATGCTGCTGTGAATACTTATGGCCAGATTTTTGCATGGATATATGCTCTCAGTTTTCTTGGTTGTAATATTTCTGGGTAGTATATTAACTGTATGTTTGACATTCTGAGGAACCATCAAACTATTTTCCAAAGTGGCTATATCATTTTACATTCCCACTAGCAACCTATGAGAATTCCAGTTTTTTCACAATCCTTGTTATTGTCCGTCTTTGTTTTTTAATATATTTTATTGATTTTTTACAGAGAGGAAGGGAGAGGGATAGAAAGTTAGAAACATCGATTGAGAGAGAGAATCATCAATCAGCTGCCTCTTGCACACCTCCTACTGGGGATGTGCCTGCAACCAAGGTGCATGCCCTTGACTGGAATCGAACCTGGGACCTTTCAGTCCACAGGCTGATGCTCTATCCACTGAGTCAAACAAGGTTTCGGCTTGTCTGTCTTCTTTATTATAGCCCTCCTAATAGGTGAAAATTATCTCACTATGGTTTTGAGTTTTAATTTATCTAATGCCCAATGCTGCTGAGCATTTGTTCATGTGATTATTAGCCATTTGTCTATCTTCTTTGGAGAAATGTTTATTCTAATCAGTTTACTTCTTAGTTGGATTCCCACCCCCACCCCCCAAATATGTTTTTTTATTGCTTTTTTAGAGAGAGAGGAAGGGAAAGAGAAATATCGACAAGAGAGAAACACCAATCAGCTGTTTCCTGCACGCCCCCTCCTAGGGATCAACCCTGTAACCCGGGCATGTGCCCTGATGGAATCGAACCAGCGAACTCACAGGGCCTGGGTCGATGCTCAACCATTGAGCCACACCAGCCGGGCTGGATTATTTATTTTTTTAATGTTGAGTTGTAGAAAGATTTTTAAGTTAAAATATATAAATAATTGAAGGGGGAAATAAATGAAATGGTGTAAGGTCCTTGCAGTGTTTTAGGAGTTTGAATAGGAGAGAGGGTTATGTGGAGGCTTAGTGAACCCAGAAGGTAACATACTTACATTTCCTGGATGGGAGAGGCCAGAAAAAAACCCCTGCCCATGAGGGGGAATGAGGAGGACAACCATCTCTTGGTGGAAAGCCATTTCAGAGGGGTGCATCCGTGCTTCTTAGAGCAGAAGAAGTTTGTTTTATGTGTCAACTTGGCTGGGCTATAGTGCCTTGTTATTCAATCACTAATCTAGGTGTTGCTGTGAAGGTATTTTGTAAATGTGGTTAACCTCGACAATTTGTTGACTTTAAGTAAAGGAGATTATACTTGATAATCATTCAATTAGTTGAAGGGGCTTGAGAGAAAAACTGAGGAAGAAGTGTGTGGACTACACTGAGTGGCCAGATTATTATGATCTCTGAACACATAGTAATCTGGCCACTCGGTGTATATCTTATATAAAAAGGCTTATATGCAAATTGTCCCCTTGACCAAGTAGTTCAACCAGCAGGCAGGCCGGCCAACCGCCCATGTCCCCTCCCCCTGGCCAGGCTGGCCTGACCCCACCCATGCATGAATTCATGCATTGGGCCTCATATACACACACACACAAACACACACACACACACACACACACACACACACACACACACACACACTGAGTGGCCAGATTATTATTCGTTCAGAGACCATAATAACCACTCAGTGTGTAGTCTCAGGCCTCAGTCCCTGCCAAAAAGCTTCCAGCCTGCTGGCTGCTCTGTGCCTTATGTCCGCAGTAATACTTAGCTTTAGGTGAAGAGGTGTCTGTTAGCCTCCAGGGCTCTGACCATTTAGTTCCAGAGTTTTGAGAACAAATGATGCCTTCCAGCTTTTCTTCAAGGTCGTTGACTTGCTCTCTGAAGGCCTCAGCTCTTCATTCACACGCTCATCTTGTCATTTGCTTCAGAATGTTCTTCCTCTTGCTCCAAGTAATAACGGACAGATCATTTCCTAAGAGACTCCATGTCTTCCTTTCTCCTGACAAAGTTCGCTCACCTCCATTCCTCTCCTCTGGAGACTGGGACGTTCAGTCAAGGCTTGCTAAAGCCTTTTAAGATCTGTCATGTGGGCTTTCCCTCTTTTCTCTTTTGGCAACGTTGATGCAGCATTGATTTTTCTCTCCCTGTTGGATGTTTAATTGCGCACTCAACTTTTCAACACACATCCGTTTCCTCCTGGCTCTTCTTGTTTGGCCATAAATACCGTCTCCACCTGCCGATTCCAAGCTTTACCCACATGCTCTTCTCTGCGGGAAGCTGTCACGCCTTTCATCTTCCCCAGCGTTTCTCCAGAAACTCCGCCCGGACTCTTCACACACGCGCTGCAGTGTTCCGCGAGTCTGTCTTTTATTGCCCGAATAGTTTTAAGTTTGCTTTTGCTTTTGCTACTTACATTTTTCTGGATTTGGTTTCCGCTTCAACAGATAGTCTCTTTCTCCCATGATAAGAGATTGGCTTATCTTGATCTGAATATTGAGGTTTGGTGTGTTTTTCCCCCATCTCTGGTTTGCTATTAAGCATAAGATGTACCAAATAATGGGGCTAGATGTATCCAGGGCATCTGGCACCTGGGGCACTTCTTTCATTGCAGGGAAAAGCTGACAAGAGCTTTAATTTTGCTGGAACTAGTGCTGAATTGC